TACCCCAACAGAGATACAAGAGGCTCTGTGAGGACCAACATCCAAGAAAGAAATATCTCAAAATTTGGGCTCGCTTCTGGCATTTAGGATGTCGAGACTTTACCGCACAGGCCTGCTCCCACAGAGAATTACCCAGCCCCAGTTCAATAGTGCTGGAGTCATGAGCCCCTGAGGCTGCCAAGCTGTGAGCAAGAGGTGCACTCAATCCCATTATGACACACAAACTCCTAGATGAAGCCCCAAATACCATGAGCAGAGCTGAATCCTTGCTATACCTAATCTAAACTCCTACAGAATCATGAACATTAATAATAATAGATTGTTGTTTAAAGCCCTGTGCTCTGGAATGATTTATTATACAGTAGTGAGTGGCCAGAACACTATTTCTGCAAAATGCTGAAAACAAGTGATTTCCAACCTAGAATTCTGTCTATACCCACGAAAATCATTGGTCACACAGTCTTAGACTGAGCCCAGATTTTTACCTCTCCAGAATCAAGTAGAGGAGTCAGTCAGAGTCAGGAAACAGGGTGCTGGCCACAAGTGGGGAGGTAGCTGGTCATCAGTGCACCCTGAAGACTAGGGGCTCCCACATCCTGTGGGAGGGAGGGGTGCACCTCTGGCAGAGGGAAAGCATGGGCTTGTAATGCTAAGGAAACCAAGCAAACAAGACCAGTGAAGGGCCGGGCGGTGGTGGCGCACGCCTTTAATCCCAGCACTCGGGAGGCAGAGGCAGGCGGATCTCTGTGAGTTCGAGGCCAGCCTGGACTACAAGAGCTAGTTCCAGGACAGGAAAAGCTACAGAGAAACCCTGTCTCGAAAAACAAACAAACTAAATAAATAAATAAATAAAAAAGACCAGTGAAGGTGGGAGTGGAAGTCAGCCCTGGTGGGTGACTCGCTGCGCTGCTCTCCAGTGAGCCTGTGCTCTGCCCGGCTCTGCTCTGGGGCTGGTGTGATGCCAGCTCACATGCCCGCAGCTCTCAGGTGCTCCACAGATTTGGGTGCCTTCCTTTTGTGCCGGAGCTTGCACCCTCACCTCGCCTTTGCACTCTCACTGAAGTCACCATGGAGCTTGCGCTTGCTCCAGGACTCCATCCCCCATGCTCTGAGATTGAATGTAGAGACCAGAGCATAGCAACCAGGGCAGGGGCAAGGCTTGCTACAAATGAAGGCGAGGTCTGGGTTTGGGGCGATGGTGCGGGGTGGAGATGGCAGTGAGTGGATGGGAGTGGGGTCTAGGTGGAACGGATGGAGGTGGTGGTGTGATCATGGAGGTGGTGATGGTGGCAGGTGGATGGGAATGGCGGGCAGCAGGGGGTGAGGTATGTGCCCTGTGAAGAAGGTCCTGGAGCTTTCTTGCTGGCTGGGCACATGAAGACCTGACATCTCCATGGGGCTATCATCACCTTGAGCCTAACTCCTCTGTCTTTTCTTCAGTTCCTTTCCTTCTACTGGGAGTAAAGAAACAGCCACAGGCTGATCAGTCGCCAATGCAGGCATGCGCAGTTCATCCCGGCCACAAAGGTCATCTCAGCCAATCTCCCAAGAAGGAAGTTTCTCCACCCAGCTCAGCACAGGGAAGGGAGTTGGCGGTGAAGGGCAGTGCTGGGCTGGCCCTTTGCACCCGCTATCTTGTCCTTAGCAAAGAAGTTTGGAAGGAACCCACTACCATCCATACTAGGACCCAATCCAGTGGGGTAAGGAGTGTGTGCCCATAACTCCAGCTACTTGAAGGGCGAGGCACGAGGGTTGAGAGTCCAAGTTAGCCTGGAAACACGGGAGGACTGCACCTCAAGACAAAGTTTAAAAGGTCTGGAGCCACACATTAGTGGCATGCACAGGGCCCGGGGTTCCAAGCTCAGCAGGGGACAAATTTTCGTGCTCCCTTTTCAGGGCTTCGAGTGTCCCCTCTTCCTCCTTCCTCTTCTTTCTTCTTCCTCCTCCCCCCTCCTGTTCTGATGTACCACATTTTCCCCTAGGCTCTGCAGTAGCCCCAGAGAGGTGAAGCTGATGAAAAGAAACCAAGCTGGAACCTTCCTTCCTTCTCCATGGCCACCAAAGTCCACTCACAGCCCCACTCCTGTTCACTGTTCATCCAAGTTGCTCCCCCCTCCTCCCATCCCGTTCCCATAGTGTAACTCGGATGGTAGGGACCCACGTCTGCACACTTGCATGACATCTCCCCTGCCTGGTCACTAGCTCCTGGGAGGGAGTGCTGGCTCAGACACACCTATTTGCCCCTTGGAAATCTTAAACCTCTAGGGAAACTGGGTCTCCTGCCCAGCAATCCATAGCAGTCAGAGGCCATGCCCAGAGCTCCTTTGGGTCCTGCTCCCCACACTGCCTGAGTTGACCCTAGGTCTCATGGTCTCATCCCTATCTTTGTCACTATGACTTTTCACAGCCATAGTCATTGATCATAATGAGGCCAAAGTTCTGCAGTTTGCAGCATCCTCTCCTGGATTCTGTCACTTAAGAAAGATGTGTCATGAGATCAGTACCAAGTACCAGATGACCTGCGTCACCTCGATGGACATAGTCACTCCCAAGACCCGCCTGTCCAAGGCTCATACTGGCTATGGGACACGCTTCCTACCCTTGGCAAGCCAAGTCCTTAGAGGACCTGGGTCTCTTCCACAGGTGGCTTATGGTGTCCTGTCCACAGTCCACACCCTGCATGCTCACTCTAGATTTGCATGTGTCTCCTCTGCCCCCAAAGGCCCTCTGGTGTCCCTCACCACTGTGCAAGTTCCGTCTACCCTTCAAGGCTCAGGTCACAAATGGAGCCTCTGGGCCCCAGTCAGCGGACATTTGTTCCAGGACAGAAGGGAGAAGAAAGGGAGGGGAGGGGAGGTGCCTGCAGACTGGGACTAGGGAAATCTCCCTCCTTTTCTCTTGTGGAAAACCACACATCAGACTTGGGTGTGAAGTGAGACCCCTTTGATGTCACTATGCACCTGATACAGTCTGCTTCTCTAGATGGGAGGCTGGGCCTGGAACACAGCCAGTATCCCGTTACTCAGGAGGTGGGAGGCTCTCCAGTTCTACGCTAGCCTGAGCTACAAAGAACAAAACTGTAAAAGAGAAAATCAGGGAGGGAGAAGAAGATGGGGATGATGGAGATAGGGAGAGGAAGAAAGAACAGATCTAGACCCCAGAAATGCCAGGTTCTTGCTCCCATCTAGACCCCAGAAATCCCAGGTCCTTGTTCTCAATCTAGACCCCAGAAATCCCAGGTCCTTGCTCCCAAACTCCGTCCCACTCACTTGGGGCTGAGTAGGAGGCTCTCTACCACAGCAGGGTAGCTCTACGGTACAAACACTTCAAAGGAGCCAGTGGGGAAGCTTGCTCACTGCCATCATGAAGATGTGAGACCTGTCTAGGGTGAGAAGTGGGCCAAGTACCCTGATCTAATTATTATGAATTAATATGGATGTAGAAATGCTAAGCTGTACTTCATCAATCTATTCAATTAATTTGTGTCAGTTAAAAATATACAACTATCCATACTGTAAAGTGTCTGAGAAAAGGTCAGGAGCATTAGGGGCTCCCAGTCACCCTATGACCCTCAGAGCCAGGCCTGACCCGGCACGGGCTGCTCAGAGGGCGCTTTGGCCACACCTCACAAGACTCCAGGAAACCAAATGCTCTAGAATTCGATCCAGTGGGAGTGAGAACCTCATACCTACCGAGGACTTCTGGGAGGACTACAGGAGAACAGACCCCCTCCCCTGCTAAAAGCCCAGCCATGTTTCCCTACCCTACAGCTGCCCGACTCCTCCTCATCCCCAGCACAGCTCCCTAAGCCCTTTCACTTCCGCTTTCTCTCACTCCTTCCCACAGCTGCTCCCCAGGAAACAGCTATTGTTTAGTTATTGTTCACAACCCTAAAAAGAAATGCCAGTTCAGAGGGACAGCCAAGAACAAAGGAAAGAGGGTTAAATCCCAGCTGCAGGCAAGGTTGGACCCAGGTGCCCCTCTGATGACCCCACAAGGGTCACTCCTGATCCCACCAGCCCAGGCAAGTGGCCCAGCTGCAAAGATAGGGACCCAAGGATATTCTAACTTCCATTCCCCGGGGATACAGGCTTTCTGTAGCACCCGCCCCCGCCCCCCAGCTGCTTCTTCTGGAAGACAGGAATGGATCAGGTCCCAGGTCTGAATCCAGCATTTCATACACTGTCCAGCACCAGGCAAGCCTCCCTCTCCCTCAGCTTTGGTTCCCCTGCTAAGGAACAAGGTGAGGGTCAGGCTATGGCCTATGCTGATCAGAACATCAGTGTTCTCCGAAATTCTGCCTCAAGTCAGCCAGCAGGTAAGTCCTGTCTGAACAAGGGCTGGTGTGGCTGGGTCTCTACCCTGTTAACCAGCTACGGTTGGGGATAGTATGGTCAGTACTCCCAGAGGTGACCCAGCACTCGATGCCTGAATCTGTGAGGGACAGCCTCTATACTGCTGCCCTGCCTGCTTCATGAGCCCTTCAGGGGCTACTAGTAGTACCACGCCCACTCTACAGATGCAGAAACTGAGGCCCAAAAGCAGTCAGCAGCCCACTCAGAGAATGAATGGAACTGAGAGAAGATCTAGCCCAGCAGAACGGAGGCCGGCTCTCCCACTCAGGTCCAGAACCAGACTCAGCCCCTTCCTCCCTCCTTCTAGATAGCAGATGAGGTGGCTAATTCCCTTCCTAGGGGGATCCTTCCCCTCTGTCTTGAAGGATCCCTTTGGCTGCTCCAAATACCCCCAGTTACTTGGGAAGGCAGAACCGGGGGCTGCCACGGCCTGAAGAGGAGATCTCAGCCTTACACACTAGAAGAAACAGGCTGCGCAGGTGAGCTCACTGATTCAAGCCCATTTCTGCCCAACCCAGTAAAGTGGCTAGCGCCACAGTTAGCTCTGCCCGCTGGTGTTCCCCCACCCTCTGCCCTGTGCCAGATGGCCAGCGAATGATTCTGAAGCATCCAAGGCTTGCCTCAATCCCAAGGACCCCAGCTTACCCCTGGCTATGAGTCCCCGAAGCAGCTGAGCTGGATGGCCCCTACCTGTGCCCTGGAAGGGGCACACAGGCAGTGATGTGCACCAGTCACAGGTGGGCACCGTCTGGAGCCAGCAGCCACACAGCTGCAGACTTTGGCACCATCTCCACCTCCTCTGAACAATTATTAACCATGCAGAGACCACACCTCCTCAGAAGGCACTGGCTACAGCTGGAGCAGGCAAGGCCCCAGGACTGCAGTACTGGAGGGACAGGCAAGCCAACTGCTAGAGAAGGGGAACAGGCAGGTGCCCAGTCCAGGGTCCTGCTGCAAGCTGGAGATGGGGATGGGGATAGCCAAAGGGCCACCAGGACCTCCTGTTCTCTCCTGGCTGATCTTCAGTGGATGGAACCTGTGGAGAAGGTAGGTGGGGAGATGGGGGGGGGGGGTGAGGGAACTTGTAATGATTCAACTATCAAGCACTGAGCCTCCAGGCCAACCCCTGAGGCTGGCATGAGGAGGCACCCTGCGGCTTGAATGAGGCTCTTCCAGCCTGGTATCTGTCCCTGCTAAGAAGGCCCTCATAGGGCAGGGCCAACACCGGGTGTAGTGGCCTATGCTCTTAATCCCAGTACTTAGAAGACCGAGGCAGGTAGATCCCTCTGAGTACTAGGCCAGGCTGGTCTACATAACAAGTTCCAGACCAAATATAGTAACATATCATCTCAAAGAAACAAAAACAAAGAAAAGAAAATTGAAGGACATTATCCAGGGGCTCCACCCACTCACAATGGTGGCCTCTGATAGTGGAACAGGTCCCCAAGTTCATTTCATCCTACTGCGCAACAGAAAGAGGCCTGCATCCCAGATCCCCAGCCTGCGTACCTCTTCCTAGCTGAGCAGCCTGGGGAAGCTCTGCTCCCTCTGGATCCTGCTGTGTCCGCTTTGAGAGTCCAGTCTGTGAGTGCCACGCTTCAGAGAGCACCAGATACACCAAAGGCTCATGGTTCTTTAAAGTCCTGGTGAAGGCTGTCCTCATGTCTCTGGGGAGAAGCTAGAATCTGCATTTATTGAGCACCTACTGTGTGCTTTACATTGTGTCTCATAGATGCTGGATGCCACAAGAATTAAGGGCCATGGCTGGGCATGGTGGTCGTGCCTTTAATCCCAGCAGTTGGGAGGCAGGAGAATTCAGTGACTTTGTGGCCAGCCTGGTCTACAAAGAAAGTTCCAGGACAGTCATAGCTCCTAGACAGAGAAACCCTGCCTTGAAAAACAAAACCAAAACAAAACAAATTAACAAAAAAAAAAAAAAAAAAAAAGAATTAAGGACCATGTTTGTGGTGTCCATCCCCAGAGGGAGCCTGAAGCCATGCCTGCTTCCCTTGACTGCTAGTGGCTGTGGGGAGCCCCCTGAGTCACAGGACAGAAAGTGCTACCCTATCTCTCCTGATTACTCCCCTTGGGCATCCTCCTCTATGCTTCTCCCTGCCCATGAAGCATCCTCATCTCCCAGTCATGGCTACCAATGTCCAAAGAGCCCAAGAGCCCTTGCCCAGGTAATAGTCCTCTAGTTTCCTGTAGGAAACACACTCCTCCATTCCATGCTGGGCATGTGGCTAAGGTCTAGGCAATCAGACTTAGAACCACAGCAAATGGACAGGTTCGCTTATAAGAATCAATGAGAAGCCGGGCGGTGGTGGCGCACGCCTTTAACCCCAGCACTTGGGAGGCAGAGGCAGATGGATCTCTGTGAGTTCCAGGCTAGCCTGGTCTACAAAAGATAGTTCCAAGCCGGGCGGTGGTGGCGCACGCCTTTAATCCCAGCACTCGGGAGGCAGAGGCAGGCGGATCGCTGTGAGTTCGAGGCCAGGCCAGCCTGGTCTACAAGAGCTAGTTCCAGGACAGGCTCCAAAATCACAGAGAAACCCTGTCTCGAAAAACCAAAAAAAAAAAAAAAGATAGTTCCAGGACAGGCTCCAAAGCTACTGAGAAATCCTGTCTCAAAACAAACAAACAAAAAACCCTAATGATTGGTCTCAAACAAAAGACTTTGTTTGGCATGGTGGAAAGGATAGCGCCCCACACCCCCATGTTTGGAGTCTGGACTGTAAGAAAGTGACTAGGACACCATACAGCTGTTTTAATGTCAGCAGAGCAAGTAAAAGAGAATAACCCAAGACTAAGGAAAGCAGAGCTAAGAAACAAAAACACAGGCATGGTGGCAAAAGCCTTTAATCCCATTGCTCTGGAGACAGAGAACAAACAAACAGAAAGGAAATAGAAACAATGTATTCGTGACTTTGTGTTAGCCCTGGAGGCAGCCATGTCCCAAGTCATCCACTATAGGGTTCTTAACCTAACCCAAAGCATTGACTTTTTTCTTTGCTTTTGTTGATTTCATTCCTGCTCTGATTATATTCCCCTTAGAGGTTAGACGTCCTCTGTCCTTCCAACACCCCACCAGATGCAAGGGAAGGGTTAAGAGGCCAGAATTTGACTGCTAATCCTCTGGGAGAACTCCTCCTCCTGGTGACCTTAGCCCAGCCTACATGAAACCAGGAGAGAAATTACCCTGCCTGCTTTATAGGATGCTTTTGTTGTTGCTGTTGTCGTTTGTTTTTTTTTTTTTTGTTTTGTTTTGTTTTTTGTTTTTTTGAGTCAGGGGTTCTTTGTGTAGTCCTGGCTGTCCTAGAACTTGCTCAGTAGACTAGGCTGGCCTTGAATTTACAGAGATCCGCCTGTCTCTGCCTCCTGAGTGCTGGGATTAAAGGCATGCGCCACCACCACCTGGCACTAAGATTCTTCAGTGGTATCTCCCATAGGCAGGGAGGGCTCAGCAGATAAAGGAGCCTGCCACCAAGCCTGACAACCTGAATCTGATCCCTAGAGGCACATGAAGAAGGTACCACACTAAGAGAGACTTACATAGATATAATCTACATGGGAAGTAGAAAGTAGAAAAAGACAAAATCTCCTAAGTAAATTAGGAGCATGGGGACCTTGGGGGAGGATTGAAGAGGGGAGGGGAGAGGCAGGGAGGAGAGCAGAGAAAAATGTAGAGCTCAATAAATATCAATAAAATAAGATAAATTAAAAAAAGAAAGAGATCACACTCCTGTTATCTTCTGACCTCCACATATAAACTGTGGCACATGCGTGCGCCCCAAAGATATTAAAATAAAAATGTTTAAAAGAGTAAAGAGCTAAGACAGTACTGCTGGAGTGGGGCCTGGGGACTTTACAGACTCCCACTGCCTCCACTCACTGGGGCTCCGCAGCCTGAGCCAGAGTTTCCTGTCTTCTTACTACCAGTCAGTAGCCTGTTGCTGTAGGCAGAGCCCTGTCTGCTTCACATTCAATGGGGATGTGTCATGACCTTAGTGTAGGTGGACATTTTGACAGGGAAGTTTGATTCCCTAACCCTCTTCCCCAAATGTAAAACAAATTAAGATATATGCAGCTGTTTGTGCTGGCACGCAACCTTTAATCTCAGAACTTGGGAGGAAGAAACAGGCAGATCTCTTAGTTCAAGGCTAGCCTGGTCTACATAGTGAGTTCCAGGATAGCCAGGTTGACACGGAGAAACCTTATCTCTAAAAACAAACAAAAAGATGTGTATGCTATATAGTTGGATGAGGGAAGGGGGATCTATAATTGAATCTTGTCTACAAAATATGTCTTGAGGTTCTGGGTAAAAGTAGTTCATAGCCTGGCAGTGGTGGCGCAAGCCTTTAATTCCAGCACTTGGGAGGCAGAGGTAGGTGGATCCCTGTGAGTTCAAGACCAGCCTGATCTATAGAGTGAGTTCCAGGATAGGCTCCAAAGCTACAGAGAAACACTGTCTCAAAACACCCCTGAAGAAGAGGAAGAGGAAGAGGAAGGAGGAGGAGGAGTCCATAAAAGAGGCTTCTGAGAGTCTTGGTAGACAAGACAAAAATAAAAACAGGATCCATCTATTTAAAAACATTTCTAAGGCCAGGCGTGATGACACACACTTTTAATCCAGGCATTAGAGGAAGGGAACAGAGGCAGGTAGAGCTCTGAGTCCTGGGTTAGCCTGGTCTAGAAATGGAGTTCCAAGCCAGCCAAGGCTCCGTAGTGAGACCATCTCAAACAACCAAACGTAAACATTTCTAAACCAGTAGTGCTGCAATCCTAGAATTCAGGAGACAGGGACAGGAGGATCTGGAGTTCAAAGTTATCCCTGACTACAGTCTGGTCTACACAGAGAGAATCTACAGACCGGCTCTGGAGCTACGCTGTGACTACAAGGTTCAGTACCCAGGAGGAGTTTTCTCTCTGAAGTGCTCCTGAGGACGCTGGGCAGGGCTGCACACCCCTGATAGGCTCTCTCCATGTGACATATCTAGACATCGGGCACCAGGCTATAGAGTCCATTAGGGTGGGGAAGCTAAATCACCTGGTCTGAACCGTGCTGATGTACATATGACTCTGCCTCGGCGGGCGCCAAGAACGACAGGGAAGCCACAGAGTGCAGCAGTGTCTAGGACTCAGTGAACACTGGCTTTCGTTGTGGTATGAGGCTGGTGGTTTTGTTATTGTTACAAGTGAAATCTCTTTTCCACAGCTCTAGGATAGCCCTTTCTTTTATTCCAGGTGGAAAGACAGAGATCCAAGGCCAGACTATCAGCCGAGGGTCATGTGGACATGCTAACACTATCAAGTCAACTATTGCCTAATTCTCTGACCACAGCTGGTGGATTCTGCACTGGGAATAAAAGAGACTAATTGTGGGCTGGTGGCCTGGGTGGTGGGAGGAAAGGCAGGTGACGTCACCAGAGGCCCCAGCTGTGCCTTAGACCTTGGGTCCAAGTACACCAGTCTGGTCTCTGTGCCCAACCCAACAGGGTGGACCTGGGACTCCTTCCTTGCTCTACAGCGGGGACAGCAGCTCTGAGTCATTACTCTGGCTGCCAGAAAGTGGACAAAGGCTAGATCTTTGCATAGCATCTGCATAAACCTGATAGGTCAATGGTACCCTTCCTATCTGTCACAAAGGCAGCCTGAGAATTTCACTGGGTTGTGGGCTGTGATGATCCAGGTTTGAATAACAGAGTCATGTCCAATGTCAGTGTCAGGGAATGGGAAGTATTAAGTGGGGCTAAGAGTCAATGATGACCAGGTCCTAA